ATCCCTTTTTCAATAATTCAGCCCACTTCATTTAATGAAAATTCTATTGCAAATGTATGGGGTTGTCTGCCCGGCAGTGTGGCCGCCCTTGACGCAGGCATTTGCACCACCCACTCCAGAACTAGTACATCATCATTTCAAAACAACGTGAACAATGCTGACGTTGTCATACGGTGTCCGGTCCCTCGTCAACTGTTCGTCAGCAATTCAGGGGTCAAAGATTTGGCCTTGTTTACTCAGCGTTGGCGCCCTTGATGTTGCAGCCATGTCAGGCTTATATCTAGTCTTGTTTTTCGGTAGTTCTTCAAGTTAATGATTCCATAACACTGTTGCCCCGAACGCTTGCATGGGTGCCTCTGTCGCTTGCACAATTATGACATTCTGGCCAGATTTTGAGGGCCTGACCTTCGACAAATGATTCGTCGTTACTGTGGTTGATGGTTGACCTTCTTTTAGGCAGCGATGATGCCATTGGCACAAGCATTAGTGCCCCTGGTGCCATTGAATTTCGGCTCCTTTTCTCAGCATTGGCAGTCTTCACGTCGGTGTTAATGATGTTGGCGCTAAGGGACGAATATGGTATTTTCAGGCAACGAGCTTTCCTGTGCCATAGCTTCCAAACCGTGCGTCAGATTCGAGCGATTCTTGAACCTTTGGAAATCTTACAACCTCTACTTTTATTTGGGGTCTGATGCGGACCCAAATGGCGAGCTTTAGGAGGGTCTACAGGGCTTGGGCTTTTGGGTGCCGGTTTTGCCTATTTATTGGATTTTGGGTGTCAGAGCTACATACAGGTATGTTTCTAGGGTACTGAGCGGTTCTAGAGTCTACAGTTTCGGGAGGTGGTTGGGTCAAGGTTCCTAAGGTTCCAGGGTCTTTAGTTTCTTGGATTCCTTCAACCGGAAATGGAGTGTATTCTTATCATTAGGGCTGGGACCCTATCCATATCTCCAACCTGGATCAACTTGTCTACTTGAACTCGAGGAGGACATTTTCACCTACCACCCTTAGCTATCGAGTATCAACTTATAACCTAATCCTGAAAATTACACAAAAATAACAAAGTCAAACTTGAAAACATTTACAAGAAGTGGAAATTATAGATGCATATACAAAAGCAAGATTATATTACAACTATGTAGTCTAATGTTTGAAAATTATATTACAACTATGTAGTCTAAATATTTGAAAGTTCAATTTATTCATCCAAGAATATTAAAAAATGATCATCTAAAAAATTACAAATAGGTAATGAAGTACGAATAATTAATACATTGACCCTTCAATATCTTGAGTTCTTAACAATCCAAGGAAGAAGTCTAGCATGATCAATGGCAAAAAAAATCTAAGTAAAACCTACTCATCAAAATTGCAATGATTTAAGGCATAAATTGAAAAAACAAATTACTCATACAATTATTTAATAAGGGCATTATTAAACTAACTCATGAAAAATATTTATGGGGATAAAAGTTATGAATCATACAAGTAAACTCATGCATAAAAAGAAAATATTCAAATACTTCTCAAAATGGAATCGATATTGGCCCAAATCAGAAAATTTTGGTTCCCAAATCTCCTCTTTTACAACTACCATAAGCCTAAAAAAGATTCGAGATAAATATCCTTAGATTTTGTGAGCAGGTTGAAAAAAATTTCAATCTACCTTCAAATCTTGTTTTCTAGAGGGTTTTTCGCTCTTCAAGCCTTGCTACAAAGATTTTGAGGGGCAAGAATTGCCCCCAAAACCCTCTTACCCCCTTTTCATGGAGGAAAATGCTAGAAAACTCCATTTGCCGATGGGCATTTTCCACCCTCAGCCTGGAAGCTTCAAGGTGGTGCCTAGGCGCCCTCCTTTCAGGCCGCCTAGGTGGGCACGGTGCTTTACAATGCGGGATGCGGCCAAAAGGGTTAGGGGGGGCCGATGCAGTCCGGATGCCGGTGTATCGTGGCGACGTGGTCAATAAATATAAAAAATTCTAAAAAGTATAAAAAATAGGTTAATGCATAGAAAAAAAATATGAAAGTGATATATGTGATAGTCGGTATTTAGATTATTCATCAATTCCAAAAGTATTAATTGTTGGAGATTCTGTATCCACTATCCCATGATAAAAACTAGAAACTTGACACTGGCTTTATAAAACATTCAACAATCAACAACCATAAGCACAAATTTGCAACAAAAAACTTTCTTTTTGTAGTGAAGTTAACGATTGTATTACAGGAAGAGCGTCAGAAAACAAGAGGGGGACCAGAGAGCACCCACAGGCAGGGTCTCTCGGACAAAAAATAGATCACTACACAGTGACCCTATACAAAAAATTGGGGTTTGTAGACTTGCCTGATTACAAGCAATGTACACAAGAAAGTAAAATACAATGTGCCCACAGTGGTCTAGAGAAAAAAAAGGAGATGGACCGGCGCCTAAAGTTTGAACAATACAGCATCCCAAAAAGTCGCATGTATGCGGGGGCATCTGCTTGGGCGCTAGCTCCATCCTTAGCCAGAAGATCTGCGAACTTTTTCGACGTCCTCCAGATATACTTCCAAGAGACGACCATATCCTTGCAATTGTAAGCAATCTCATAAAAAATAGAGGATAGGTACCATGGAGGCGGTGTATTTCTAGCAGCCCAGGAAATGATATTTTGGGCATCCCCCTAGACAAAAAACTATGATCCCCAAGAAAAGTCGAATCTTTTCAGTCCCAAGAGTAGATGCATGGATTCAGCGTACTGAGAATCTGCATGGCCTAAATGCTCGGAATAGGTGGCCAGAACATTGCAGCAGTGGTCTCGGTAAACTCCTCTGGCTCCAGTTGATCCAGAGTTCCCTAGGGAGCATCCATCAAAGTTTAGCTTGATTGTGCCTTCTGGTGGTGGCAACCAGTTGTTGGGTCTTGATACCCTATGTGGTTGGAGCTTAAAGATGGTTTTCCATTGGCTAAGGAAAGTGTTGATTGATATCCCGATAAAGGCTCTGTGATTGAAAGCCTAAAAGATTACTACGGAAGTAACCTTATGGAAGAGGGCTGGAACTTTGTTCTTGAGGCCTTGAAATATCTTGGAGTTCCTTTCTAGCCAAATAACTCAGATAGTGGCTGCTATAGAAGGCTTCCACAGGATTCTTCCGGCCTTAGGCTAATGAGAGACGAGAGACGAAGAGATGAGAGCCGGGACAGAGGGTGGAGTGACCCATGAGAGGCCAAACAGCTGGATTGGAAGACTCCACCGGGGGCTAGGCTACAGTGAATAAACAGGTGAGGGTTCGATTCCTCCTCATATAGACACATTGCTCACCTGTTGGAGATCGGGGTCCCTTTCCTTTGAAGCTGGTCTACTGTGAGGGCTCTTTGGGAGCAAGCAATCCAATTGAACGCTTGCACTTTAGGTGGAGCGATGGTGGACCAGACTTTTGAAAGGACCGAGACTAAGTTGAGTGGGAAGGTGGGTGGCTGAGTAAGTTTTTTATAGAAGGAGGCCACCGAAAAAGAGCCAGAAGGGGAGAAAGTCCACACTATCTGTAACAAAAAACTTTAAAGTTACAAATTTTGTAAACTCTTTAATATTGAAAAGAGTCCATAAAGTTCTTCAACTCGATTTGTATACTTTTTATAAACTTTATAAATTTATAAAAATGTTGTAACTTTACGATATTAGAGCATTTATGAAGATCAATAAATTTTATAAACTTATTAACTTGTAACTTTATTGTATTAGTCCATGAAACACTTTAAAGTTACAAATTTTATTTGAAAAGTATTGGGAAAATTTATTTGATTTGTAACTTTTAATCTTCATAGACTTTTAGTTTGTAGTATCTTGTATTACAAATTGAAGAACTTCAACAAATAAAATTTCCACCCAATATTTTTTTTGATTCAATCGATCCAATAAAAGCCACGGATGTGGCTGCAAAATGTTGTTTGGTGGTTTAAGACCCCCCAAAACCCTTTCCCCGTATTTTCAAAGGTCAAAATGACCTTATTGCCATGCCTGAGGGGTACAGTTTTGAAAAAAATGGCGGACAGATTATGCTGCCTGATGCGGTCGATGCGGGATGCGGCTCTGATGCTGCGCAACTCTTCAAACAGCATATGCGGGAACGTGCAATGCGCTGGGTGGTGCATAGTGCTTGATGCGGCCGTATATGCGGCGATTCGGCCACATTTTAAAACACTGGGTGGGCGCCTTGGGTGCCTAGGCAAACGCCTTAGCACACCCACCTAGGATCTACCCCCGGGCTATGCCTATGCGGTTTGAGAAAAGGCTGCCTAGGCAGCCGGGTGGCCAGATTTTTGTACATTGCTCTTTAGTTATTACCTTAGTGACAATCATCATCTTCATGATAACCTTGGTGGTGATTTCCATCTGGGTGTTATCCTATCTTTTATATCCGGATTTTGGCATATAATTACCAGAGCTGTTAATATATTAATTTAATATGTTATTTATCATGGGATAAATTTTTATTAAGATCAATAAACATGAATTCAAAATATACACAATTAAAACATAAGCATGTTAGAAAATTTGCTGATGATATAGTTGACTATTTGTTTTCAGTGTAAATCAAAATTGGAATAGCAAAAGTCACCATCCAACTTCATAGCCTTAACTTTCACATCCATTATCAATTCCTTGCAAATTGCTTCCCAATTTCCATATTGAGATTTGGGAGTTATTTTAAGTTAGTGTCATGTTTGATTTCAAATTCAAACATGTTTGTTTTCAAATTCCAACAGCTAATTTTGCTTCCTGATTACATACATGCTATTATTGGGACAGTTTTTTATCATGATAATATCAGGAAGTCTTAAAATATCATGATCAATTGATCTTTATGGGATATTACCGGAGTTTATTTATTGACATCAAAACTTACTGTGGTAAAATAAAGATAAAATGAGATTATTGGAGATAATTGTCACTAAGGTTATTATTTCTTTGTAATTTATCCTTGGCTTCTCTTACTATCCTACTTCTTGTATTTGATAGGATACAAGGATAATGGAACTTGAGCAAGCTTTGATCCTCAAGGACAAGGATATGCAGGTTGCACTATTGGAACAAAGGTGCAAGGGTTATAAGAGGCTCTTGGACTTGATGCAACAACTGGTCTCTTTGACGAGCCATAAAAATCAACTGCCATTCTTAGGGGGGAGGAGCTCGGGCCATACCTAACTGTGGATAGACCTTCGGCCTATCTTGATATAATCATCTCTTGTTTTTTGTATTCGGGTAGAGGCACCATATCCTTCGGGCCATTTTTGGCTTCACATTTTGTAATTATGAACAGAACGTGCTTCATCATTGTATGCTTGTTTTTCAGTATATTTTTTTTTGTGGGGGGGAGTTAGCAAGCTAGGTTAGAATTTGAATCCACAATGTGAAGGTTGTACCAACAAGTGCCTTCTCATTGAGCTATGACATTTGCAGTGAAACTCCCATTCTAGTTGAATTGTTGCATTAATCTTTCCTATCTCTTTGTGAAGAGCGTAGAGCATGTGTAGTAAAAGTTTTTCAAACCTCTGTTATCAACTTCAAAAATTGGGCATTTCAGCATTAGCTCTGTCTTTTCCCATTTGAAGGGTGTATATTCCTCATGTGGATCCCGTGAACCATTTTTAAAAGAAACTCTTTATCTTGGATTCTTCTGTGTACATGGCAGTGGTATGGCACATTTTCATCTGTTGTAACAGGCCGTTTAACTTATTGTTAATGCATTGTTGCAATGATTTTTTATGCGTCGTGGCATATATGTTTCTCGTTTATATGATACGGTGGGATATGAGCTTCTATGCGACTTTCAAGATGCCAAAATATTTTGGGATTCCTCGAGAGCATATTGTTCATTTATTTTGTGAAGGTTTAAGGTGGTATGATGTTCAAAACATCGGACCGACTAAAAAGGTAGCAATACCATAACTTTTAATGTGGTACAATGTTTAAAACATCACACGGACCCCAAGATGGCACTGTAGCCTATTGGACAACCCTAAACACGAAAAAAATATAAAATTTGTTTTTTGTACCTCCTTATATAATTTAGGTGAGGTTTGCATAAAGCGCCCTCCAGAGAACTACTGGACACCTCTAAAATTTGTTTAGCGGTATAGTATCGTGGAAACTTTTGATGGTTTGAAAATTTATTTTCATCCTTAGTTATAAAATTTAAAGTTTATATAGGGATGTATACTATGAGACCATTTATTATTGTTACAAGTAGATCGTAATCACTTCTAGTTATTGGATGTCAAAATACACAATTCGAAAAAACTTCATTTGAACTTTGAGTCTAATGATACATTCAAAACAATTTCTGCTTAACAGTTGATGGACAAGAGTAATTGTGACATCTTTATATTGATAAGTAAATAAATTCTTTGTATACTTTTTTATTTATAAAATAGTACAAATCAGGAAAATCTATAAATACTCGAAAATTTTAAAAATATATAATCCAGATACTTTATTCTAAGATGAACTATTTTTTTATATATATCAACACTTCTTGAAATTGAGATAATTAATTGGAAGATTCGTCAACATCAGAACACTCTTCCCTTGATGATTTTTACTGTGCACCATATTGTACAATTGCAACCTTGTACAAACGGTTTTCTAAACTATTTCCTTTGTTAATTGGTGTGTAACCTCATAAAAACTTTTGGAAAATATATAAATTGATCATTTATTTTTAATACAATTAAATACAAGAAAATATATAAATTGATCATTTATTTTTAATACAATTAAATACAAGAAAGTGACAATCACACTTTCATCCATTAGATTTTAAATCAAATAGTTATAAATATATTATTAATAACTAGACCCAAATTCTAAAAAAAAAAAATTCAAAACTTTGTGATACACCCCACCGTTCAATTTGAGATCTGATGTCTTGGAGCAATGGGGACCTGCTCGTAATAATCCTAGACTTTTTCTTGTGTTAAAAATTGGGTTTGTGGTAATAAATTTGTAGCCGGCCGCGTAACGTTCATTTCCCGCTCTAAGAGCGTCTGTTCGCTCTATAACATAGTGAGAGACAACTGGTCTCCTTCTCTCTCTAAAACTTGGACAGAGCTTTCCCTCTCTAAAAGCTTTTCTTCTCTAAAGCTCTGGTTCGAAGCGGCTCTACTTCTCGAGGCGGTTTCCTCTCTCCCCGTTTCACCCACGACTCTTTGTTTTTCTCTCTACGAATGGGAAGCCATTCCAGTCTGTAATGGAAACCAACTCGATTTCTCTGCAACCTCACCTCGGTGGCTCTGAAGCCGAACCTCTGATTATCGGGGGCTTCCCTCTCCGCCCCCGTACCAGAAGAAGGCTAAGAAGCCCCAGTCCCATTGTAGTGGAAGACGAAGAGCAATCAGAGCTAGAAGAAGAAGAGCAAGAAGTAGAAGGAGAAGAAGAAACTGATGATGAATATGAAGGAGAAGAAGTGGAGAACATTGATTTTAATGAGGTTGTTGTGGGGGAATTAGGTCGAGAAAATGGTGTGAATGGTTGCGATGGTTCTTTACGGAATAGCGGGGCTATGGCAATTCAGGATGAAGAGGAGAGTGAGTGCAATGATAATTGCAAGGCTTCACAGAAGACCGCGGGCGATTTGGATGCATTCTCTTGCCCTATTTGCATGGATCTTTGGACCACTGAAGGAACTCATAGGATCTGGTATGAACCCTGGAACATTATTCAACGACTTTAGGGCTTCTTATTTTCTAATTATCCCTCTCTTTTATGTGGAAAGGTAGCCATTGGCTTGCTACAACGACTCTTTGGTTGCACTCCTTAACAATGCTTGTTGAATGAGGCTCCCTTTTTCTGGCTCAGAAAGCATTGTGAATACATTCTTCTTTCTGAATTATATGGACACTAAAACACCAAAATTTCTATTCTTTCATATAGTTTAGGGTCTTTGCTGGAGTGCCACAGGAGAAAAAGCCAAAAAAGTGGGAACTAATAGAAACAAAATTCAAAATAAGATAGAAAAAAGATAGAAAAGTATATTACTCTTTTCTTTTGAGAGGAGAATGTAACAAGATAGAAAAGTGTATATTACATGTAACAAGATAAGAAAGTGTATATTAGACCATTATATATACAATGAAAGAACCGCAAAAAATAATGGTGTGTGGGCACAATTATTTTTTAAAGAGTTCCTCTCTCTAAAATTTCTATAGGAACATCAAAAAAAAAAAAAGAAAAAAAGAAAAAGGCTCTCCTTCAGCCTAAAGAGGAAATCCACCCCAAAATCGTAGAGTCACCGGAGAAAAGCAAAAATATGGTAACATAAGAAAGAAACATACTCTCCTTCAACTCGAGAGGAATTCCACCGCATAACATAAGCCTAATAATTTTGTCTCTGCTTTACTCATCCACTTCTACATACATTTGTTGGGTTTTTGTGGTCTTTAAAGGCCTAAAGAGCTTATAAATATGATATTTTATAGTGGAATATGCACTTCAATAGAAGTGTGTGTGTTGACTGACCAAGGGTTGGGCAGTTTATAGCTCTGGTGATATTCAAAACCCTTACCCCTGGGCACCAATAAGGGTTACACTGGTCATTCCATGTTGAGGTTGGAGAGATGTTCAAGGATGATGTTTGTAAGCCAGGAGAACTGTGCGGTTGAAGACCTATGAGAGCAAGGATCAAAGCCTCAACTAACTTCCACATGGCATATACACATGATAGTTGCATTACTAGGAAGCAGCTCTGTAGAGGGACACATGTACGTGTGTATAGAAAGAGCCCTTTTACACTGTGGTGACAAACGTTAGACTTGCTCTTAAAGGGGGAATTGAAATCCACATTCCAAGATCATGATCCCTTTGTTGATTGTTTAAATTTTAATAGCCAATCATGAGCCTTTGAAATGAGACTATATGTCATGGATCTTTATTGGGAAGGATAAGAAAAAGTAGTGGATCATAGTTTCTGATGCGAGTGGAGTACTTTTATTGTCGCTATTTTTTACCCATAAATACTAGTCCACCCCTAGTTTTTTTTTTTTGGTAGAGTACCTTTATTGTCGCTATTTTTGACCCATTAATACTAGTCCACCCCTAGTCTATTTTGTTTTGGTATTAGAAATGCTTTTATGATTTTTAAGTATTTATTTAGAATTTAAAATTTCATTTCTGCTGTAATTTTCATCAAAAGGGTGTTTTTAAAATTCTCAAAACTTGATAAGAAACATATGGGGAACAAGGATCCATCCCCCACATGTGGGTGCCAACCATGTGGGGCCCACATGACCTCCTTGGGTGGCATGCCACTTTTCATGCAAAAAGGGGGCACACCACTTTTCATGCAAAAAGGGGGGCACGCCACTTTTTATGCTAAAAGGGGGACACGCCATGTTTTTAGGGGAAACACCCCAGTTTCTTGTTTCAAAATTTATTTTAAATAGGAAATCTTTTGATTTAAAATAGATTTGGTTTCCTATCGTGTGGGAGTTTTAAAATATAGATTATCCTAGATTACGGGAGATCTAGATAATGACAAGATTGGTTATATTTTAAATTTAGAAAGGAGTTGGACTTGAGTCAAAATTTAAAGGGAAAGGTTTTTATCTTTCCACCCAAAATCATGATGGTTAATTTATGGGATGGATGAATTTGATTAAATCTCTCTCACCCCATAAATTTTCTAATTATCCTAATTGTCTAGCAGAAAATTAGATAATGCGTACTTAGATTGGAATCCTATTTAAAATAACAAATAGATTTTGTTTCTATTTAAACAAGATATGAACCTCCTCTCTCTCTACACAACAAGATTCTCTCTCACGCCACCTTGCCTTCTTTTTTAGTTTCATGCCACCCTCTCTCCTCTTAGAGAGAGTCACGCCTCTCTTTCTAAAAGAAATGCTTGTTGTATTTTTGAGAAAAGAAGGGAGACAACCAACCTAGAGACATCTTCAATCGCAGACGAGATGCCTCTTTCGGGTAACATCAGAGTATGGACCCATCTTTTAGACATCCCCTTTTTGATCTTGAAACCATTGACTTCCTCTCCTTGTCGTCTTTGTTGCATTCAAACTTGCCCTCTCAGGGCTTGACCACATTCTGTGGACCCCTTCCCCCTCGGGCCCTTTCTCGATAGTTTCTTTCTATGAGAAACTCCTTTTACCTCCTACTTTTCTTCATTGTCTGAGTTCCATTGTGGCCCAGATTTGGTCATCTATTGCTTCTGCTAAAGTGCAAGCATTCACCTGAATTGCTTGTTTCGAAAAAACCCTCACGGTGGACCAACGACAACCGAGGGGTGTCCCTATCCCCAACCGTTGTTTTATGTGCACTAGTGAGGAAGAATCCAACCCCCACCTCTTTATACACTGCAGACTGGCCTACGAGCTTTGGAGCCTTCTACTTCATCTCTTCAGTCTCTCTTAGGTCACTCCTTCATCCCTTCTGGCCCTCTACAATTTTTCCAAGGACACTCTGTGGCCCTCAGCTGGCAGGCTCCTCTGGAAAGCTTCCATTGAAACCACTATTTGGGTTATTTGGACGTAGAGGAACTAGAGGATATTTCGAGGGACCAAATGTGAAGTTCCTAGTGTTCTCCACAAAATCACCTTGGAGGTAGCTCTTTGGGCATCCAATCACAAGACCTTTCGAGGAGTCTCGGCTACAACTTTCCTACACCAGTGGAAAGAAATTCTCCAGACCCAATCGTCAAGGGCTCTAAGACCTAGCAACTGTTTTGTCCCTTCGGAGAGCTAAACAAAGCTTAACTTCAACGTGTGCTCCTTGTGGAACCCTGGTTCGTTGGAGTGGGTGCAGTCTTCCGAGATCACCTTGGCAATAATACCCTTGCTTTCTTCTCCAAAAACATTGGTCACGCTGACTCCCAATTAGCTGCGTCTTTGGCATTGCTCACTGGCCTCAAGATCCTTAACCCATCTTGGCCGGAACCACTTATAGTGGAGGGAGATGCAAAAACCTTATCACCTGGGCTGCTGACTCAGGGTCTCCCCCGTGGTATCTGGCTTCGATTTTTTATAAGATTACTCACATTTGCATAGTTATGGACGTCTCATGGAGACATATTTGGTGGGAATCGAACGCCTTAATAGACCAACTGGCTAAAGATGGAGCGTCATCCAGTAGCTCAGGACTGTGATTTGTCTTGGTTTTTTGGTTTTTTGTACTTTTCTTCATTGTAAGCGGCAGGTGTTATGGCCCGCTTTTGGTTTTCAGTTACCCATTTCTGTCGAGTTTTTGGTACTACGCCCGAACATTTTTTGTATAGGACTGCTCTTCCAGGGTAGTCTATTATTTTTCCGGCCTGTGGTTCTCTTCTGCAACACTCTTGTACTTACTATACTTTCTTGAATACAACAGTTAACAACATAAAAAAAAAAAAAGACAACCAACCTAGAGAGAGATCAACTCACAAGTTCAAATCTATTTTCTTCCCATAGGGGTTTTATAAACTCTAGTGATTTTTGAGCTCTCTAAAACCCTATAAAAAGAAGTATTGCCTGTAGAGCTTTCCTATCTCAGAATTTCCAGTAACATCTAAAGGATTAAAGTTGTGCCAACGGTCAGGGAATTAGGTTTTGGAGTGTACCAAGACCTGTGAGGATAACTCTAAGCATCTTCCAGTCAGTCTTTCTAGTAGTTTTAATTAATTTTCAGTAGTATTTTCTTATTTTCTGTGAATTTCTAGGAACTTGTTTTGTACTAAAAATTATAGTGGAAGTTTGTTTAAAGCTCATGGATAGTTTCAATTTCTCTTGGAAGTGAAAATAAAGATACTAGGTTGTATTCAAGGTATTATTTTTTATTTACAGTAATATTTACTGGCCCATGTAAGTGGAATTTAGGTACATCGGATAAAAGAAAAAGAAATTTTTTTGAATTTAATACATTGAGTTCCACATAGCCAATCCTTACAATATTCATAGAAAATATTATTAAAAAAAAAGACCGAAACCCTAACCTTTGTTAAATCCTAGCCCTTCATCTTCTCAAAAGTAAACATTAAACTCTATATCTCAATTATCTACAGCAACAAAAAGACATAAATCCCTTAATATATCTTAAAGGAAAAATATTTGGCCAGGTAGTTAACTCACCTATTTATGTGCATACCCTCTCCAAACTCCATCCTAAAGATGGATTTCGGATACATAATTTTATGGCTTTCTAATCTCAACGATGATGGTGATCATGAATCTGGAATTTTTTTTTCTGAAAAATAAAAATGATGTTCTTTGAAATTCTTTTTCCACCATCCACTTTCACTTTTAGTGGAGGCAACATTTTTTGTCCATCTTGGAGATGGATGTTTGATGAATGAGGACACGCATTTAACTAGGTGAGTAAGTTAACTCATCAAAAGTGTGTCCTAACTTAAAAGCCAGTAGACCAAATACCGTAGTTTTCCACGAAAACAAAAAAAAACAAACTACAACAGCAACAAAAGACATAAATACCCTAAAATAACTTAAAAAACTAAAAGTCCAAAAATCCAAAAGAAAAAGGCTAACTTAGCTTCAAAGGCTTGAACCTTTAACCTCCCTCACCCAAACCATTATGTTTAACACTGAGCTGTAGCCTCAAGGGACAAACGAAGCTAGTTTCAATGTCCATAAAAAGACAATAAAATAAAATTGAAAATTTAACTGCATCATTCTCTTAGGATTGGGAGTAGCTGGACT